CAATTCATAATTTATATAAGCGCAACTGTGTTGCAATAGTTTTGCATGTAATTTTATAACTTTGTTATACTCACGACCATGTATGCATCGCCTATTGTTTCCACTTTATACACATCATAATTTTCTATTGTTGAATCGAAACACGTGTAAAGATCGTTTAAAAAATCCACCACCTAGAAGAAATATCATTTAACAAACTTCTCATAATCACAGATAATTGCTATGGCATGTTATGATTTAGTATAATATTTTTTCAAAAAGAACAAGTTGAGTCAATTGCAATTTGTGAATAATAATGTGTATAATAATCATGTGTGTATAATAATCATTTATTTTTTCTGTGCGAATATAATTATCTTTATTAAAAAAAATAAATAAAGTTTGCGAGAAAAATAAACTTACAATTATATAAACGTTTACTATTAAAAATTCTTACTTGCAATGGTGTGCTTTCCGCAGACATGGACGTAAAACCAACAATATCGCTAAAATAAATCGTTACGCAGTCGAAACTTTCAGCTTCAACCTTATGTCCTTTCTTCAATTGTTCAGCTACGTAACGCGGTAACATTTCATACAATAACGCATCAGTTTTTTTCTTTTCTTCACTTAATTGATCTGTGCGTTCATCAACAAGTACTTCCAGATTATTCGCATATTTTTCCATCATCGCCATCATGTTGTCAAAAATATTCGCTTTCCTGTACGACAAAATATCGGTCAAGTTTATCTTTTTTTTTTATATATAGGTCGACCAGACACATCGTGTTGCAAAAAAGACTCACATTCCCTTTCGCAACGGTCGTAACTTGTTTCTTATGATCTTAAATTCCGGGCGTAAGTCTGGATTTTCCGCCCAGCACTCCAGCAAACAGTCACGAACAAAATCGAACGTATTTTCCAATTGATCTAATGGAGGTCTATATAACCATTTCAATAAAAACTTATATTTATATTCTTTCAAAAATATAAAAGAAATATTCTTTTATATTTTTAGTAATTTACCTGAATGGTGTTGTTCCAGGATCTTTTGCGATTATTTTTTTTAATATTTCGGCTGCCGATAATTCTGTGATGCCGAATGGCCCGTGTCGTCCTTGCAATTCGTATAATACTATTGCAAACGAATAAACGTCAGCTCTTTGAAAACCACGAGCAGTTGGTTCTCCGAGACGAGTTGAACGTAATAATTCAGGCGCTTTATATAATAATGCTGCACAATTAAAAATACTAATTAACATTATAATATATAATTCTTCTTGATCATCATAGCGAAAAATAATGAAATTGCTTTGATCTACACATTTTTCAATTAAGATTAGAAATGACGTGAAAAATTTAACAGCAACTAAAAATCCGAAGGTATGAGGTGGAGCAGAGTATAAAAATTATCGCTGTCTTGTATTTACCGTGATATTTTTTTATAACATCAGAAGGATCACATTCCGCGTCTCGTTTAAATTCATGCAGGCCAAAATCCGCCAGCTTTACGACCCATCTCGAATCCACCAGACAGTTCGATGTGCTCAGCGACCCATGATATTTTATCACAGACTCGTGAAGATAGATCATACCCTACATAAAAGATAACATTTGATTTACGTTTTCGAAATGACATTTTATACGTGAGAACCAATATAAAGCAAAAATTTCAAGTATAAACTTGGAATACAAGGAGATTATTTGCTTATTTATCATATCATAGACCGTAAATTATTGTTTAATAAAGCATCATTTTATGAGTATTTATGAATTATTAATATTTATTAGATGTATATTTTCTGAAACATATAAGATGTCCTAAATTGTAGTATAATTAATGAGTTTGCGAAAATAATAAAAAAATGTAAGATAAATTAGTTTGATTAGATTTCAAAAAATTTCATTATTAATATGTTTTTAAACTTATTTGCAAAATTTCTCAGAGAGATGAGAATAGAATAGAAGGATCGAATATAAAAATTGAAATTTAAAATTAAAGTTGTTATGAGAAAAAAGAGGAACTTCTGAAGATCGGTGATTATTGTAGAATTGTGGAAGTTTCGAACAACGTACTTTTATTCGGAGTGCAAAAGTTTGTGAACGGAGGAAGTGTGGACAAGTTCAGAAATTGCCTTTCTCACAACGGACGTTTTATCTAGCACTTTGACGCTACGTGGAAGGATTTTAATACAACTTTTTTTAGTAAAAAAAAGATTTCTTGAACGAAGTTTGGAAAAACTAATATAAAAACACAATTAAGGAAAACTCACTCTAATGATGTCGCCGACAAGAGATGCCATAAACATATTATCCAATTTTATGTCTTCATTTTCCAATATGTCCTGAAAAAGATTTCTGTGTTGAGAATTTTGTTTGAAACGAAATTATACAAAAATTAGCATAATGCAATAATACTTGAAAATTTAATGGATTATTAATTATTAATTTATTATTAAAAAGTTACCAACCTTGAGGCTACCACGCGCACAATATTCCACGACGATGCATATATTCGGTGGATCGGTGCATGCACCGATAAATGCATTTAGATTATCGTGTCTGACATCGCGCATCTGAAAATATATCGCTTTAATACGAGCAAATAATTATCTTGAGATAATTACTTAATTACTTAGTTATTGTGCAACAATTGCAAAATAAATTAAAATTATTGACTTTGAAAATGTTACCATTTTCAGTTCTTTTTTCATTTCTCGCGTGATCTCAATCGATTTCTTCCTGACTTTCTTAATAGCAAATATTCGTCCTTTGTACACTCCAATTTGTGTATAAATCATTGAGTATCGGAAGTCTGCGTCAGGATTCGAACTTAGCGACACTTGACTAGTTCGCACGATGGGTTGCGCTATGTGTGTGTGGGTGGATGACTTTACGAGAAAAAACAAAATACTGAATATATTTACAATATATGATTTAAAATTATTTTTCGTAGTTAGGAAAGAATATTCTCAAAAAAATTTATTGTGTATAAATCAATTTAATGAAATATGAAAACAAAAATTTTATTATTACGTAGATGAACCAAGATAAATATGTCACGAATGCAAGCAATTTCGCTCACTGTATAATCAATTTTTCAAAAAAAAAATGATAAAAATAAATACGAAGAAATGTCGGGATTGAAAATTTTAACGAGAGTACAAACAGCAATTACCTTGGAATTGTATTTGATAGGCGCTTCATTGATCTCCGCCGCGCGCGTTTCGTCTTTCTGCTCCTTAATCTGGATATCTTTGTAATTTACCTTCCACAGTAGGCTATCCAATTCTTGTTCGTACTTCCAGTTTCTATAGAGAATTAGAACGACTGCTGCGAGAATGAGCAACAGTGTGCCGGCAATGCCTCCCACAATTTCGCCTGTATAAGCTGCAAATTTTATATGTAATGTATGTTATCTATCAAAAATATTTTTATTACTATAAATTAATACATTTGTTGCAATTTACTCACAATTACATTTTTCACCGTGATACCCGCAATAAGGTTCTGCAACCGGCGGTCCATCACCAAACCACGAAATTTCTTTAGTTAATTGAAGTTTCTAAAGATGATCATTAAGAATTAGATTGAAAGCTTCAAATTACAACTATCAATGTCATTCTATGATTTAGAAATAAAAAACTGGATATTTTATGCATTATCTTTTTTCTGTTTTTAAATTAGAGAATGACATTAATTGTTTCACAAAAATTCAATATTAAGAAAGTAATAAAAGATTATAAATCATTAGATTTTAAATCATGAGATTTTATGTATAGTTCTCTATATATTCAATAATATTAAATTATCGGCAATATTGATTAATACAATTATTTTATTAATTACGTTACAGATAAAATTATATTACATTCTATTCTTGTCAACATTTTTTTATGTTCGTGAACCTAGCATATCATTTTCCAGCAGATCAAAAATAAAAGAGAGTTCTTGTCGCATGCAGTCGAGTTCTATAGTTCCTTATAGTTTTTAGTAATAGTTCTGGTGATTTTATCCAAAAAAACACCAATCGAAAAAATGATCTGCTAACTTCCCGTAGCAGATCATTTTCTAGCAGATCAAAAATAAAAGAGAGTTCTTGTCGCATGCAGTCGAGTTCTATAGTTCCCGATAGTTTTTAATGATAGTTCTGGTGATTTTATAAAAAAAACACCGATCGAAAAAAATGATCTGCTACGGAAAGTTAGCAGATAAAAAATAGAGGACACTGAACATATATGTGATATGCTGGCCGTATATTGATAGTTCTGTTGATAATTAAAGAGTTTTCGTGTAGTTCTGAGCCAGTACATTGCTTTTCCAAAGAGTTCTGACGACTAAAATAATTAGAAAATTTTTTAACAATTATTTTACCCGAAAAAACACGCATTTTTTGTACATATATGTGATATGCTGGCCGCATATTGATAGTTCTGCTAAAAATTAGACAGTTCTCTTCTAGTTCTGGGCGAGTACATTGCTTTTCCAAAGAGTTCTGACGACTAAAATAATTAGAAATTTTTTAAACAATTAATTTACCCGAAAAACACGCATTTTTGAGTATATGTGTGATATGCTGGCCGTATATTGATAGTTCTGTTAATAATTAAAGAGTTTTCGTGTAGTTCTGGGCGAGTACATTGCTTTTTCAAAGAGTTCTGACGACTAAAATAATTAGAAAATTTTTTAAACAATAAATTTACCCGAAAAACACGCATTTTTGAGCATATGTGTGATATGCTGGCCGCATATTGATAGTTCTGTTAATAATTAAAAGAGTTTTCGTGTAGTTCTGGGCAAGTACATTGCTTTTTCCAAAGTAGTTTACTGACGTACTTAAAAATAATTAGAAAATTTTTAACAATTTAATTTACCCGAAAAAAGTCGCAATTTTTGAGCTATAATGTAGTGATATGCTGGCCGCATATTGATAGTTCTGCTAAAAATTAGACAGTTCTCTTCTAGTTCTGGGCGAGTACATTGCTTTTCCAAAAAGTTCTGACGACTAAA